CACTCCGCCCCACTCCATGCCCCCCCCAAAGTGTGGGGCCCAAGGTGATTGCCCCAATTTGCCCCCCCCCAAGATGGCCCTGATTACCTCATAAGGTACTTGTTCATGTGTTATATTAAGACATGTTTAAGGCATTTAAAAATACATATTCAGAATACAGATACAGTACTAGTGCACACCTATCCCCACTAAATATCCCCATAAAACCATATCTGATACAATAGAAGCAGTAAGAACTGGTTCCTGTTAGAAACATACTTTATGGATCTTCAGTGGATAGCTTCAAATGGTTAATTTTACATTTTATAGATTGTACTGTACAAAACAGCTTTTTAAAAGCATCTGTGGCTGGTATATCATTTTAATTATTCTCTTTTTTCTTTTATTTTGAAAGGCCACTGATAGGGAGGGTGACCCAATAAGATATCTCATTGAGAATGGAGATCCTCAGCAAGTTTTTAATCTCTCTCAAAGGTATGTGGAAAAACCCTTACAATTGAGTTTTTACCTTTTTCTGTCAAATGAGTACCCTGAATGTGAGCAGCAGAAACTTATATCATTTTGATTATTCTCTTTTTTCTTTTATTTTGAAAGGCCACTGATAGGGAGGGTGACCCAATAAGATATCTCATTGAGAATGGAGATCCTCAGCAAGTTTTTAATCTCTCTCAAAGGTATGTGGAAAAACCCTTACAATTGAGTTTTTACCTTTTTCTGTCAAATGAGTACCCTGAATGTGAGCAGCAGAAACAACTTTTAATCAGAGGTGTTCAGCTGTTCACAGATTATCTTTTAGGCAATAATGAGAACTCTGTAAATGGTACTGAACTCTGAAATTTTACACAGGGGACTATTTATTTATTTTAAGCACTTTGCTAGCTAAAATCCAGTGAGGTGGAAACATTCCATTTACAAGTGTGACCTGGGATTAATTAGAAGCCTTTAAAGTTGTCAGCTTTTTGCTAATGACAGGGACATTTTTACTCAGTTTCTTGCTTTGAAAAAATTTGCTCTGTAATGGAAAAAAAAGGTCTTCTCAGCTATTGTTTTAAAAGCAGATATTTCAGCAATGACTTAAATGGGAAACATTTAGCTTCTTCTCATTTGGAGGCTTACCTAATTAGCACAGAGAGAATATGTATGTTATGGTTTAGAAGCACCACAGAGAATAGTGCCCCAATTCTTCCAAGTAGCTAGCTGCCATTTATATCCCAGAATGTCATTCTTATTTAAATAGAAGGGAAAGTAAGCTGGCTTTCCTTGGCAGATATTATGGTATAAGTAAGCAGGAGCCTTTCATTAAAAGGCTTAGGTATTATTCTATAAACACTAGTTAATCAGGTTAACTGAATAGTTGCATGGACTATTAGACCATTATGAATGTGCTAAAATGAACCAACAGCCATTGGGCTCCTGTCTCTATTTATTGGCCTGAGACTGCAGCCTCTAGATGCAGAGCAGGAGAAAGCTTCCTTCTCTCAGTCCAGAGATGACAAGAATTGGAGTTCCAGGCTTCTGAGACTAATGGGCTTGCCTTTCTTCTAAGGGGAGAAATTATGCAGGAACTGGAACTGTCAGCAATTTCTTCCATAAATGGGAAAAAAATTGACATGTTTTGTTTGTTGGCTGCAACTAATAGATGTATGAGAACTGTGCCTGGGTTCTTAGATAAATCATTTATATGTGAAAAATAGGGCTGAAAGGGACCTCACAAGGTAGGATAATCCCTGACTAACCCATCCCAGTCAAGTGTTGGATTAACCTGCTCTTGAAAATTTCCAGGGATACAGTTTCTATAACCACTCCAGGTAGCCCTTTCCAATGTTTGACCACTTTCATAGTCAGAAAGTTCTTAATTTCCATCCTAAATTTCCTCTGCTCTAGTTTGAGGCCATTGCTCCTAATTCTATCTCCTACACTCACAGAGAAAAGCCAGTCTCTATCCCCTTTATAATCACCCTTCAGGTATTTGAAGAATATAATCAAATCCTTCTGCATCTTCTGTTCCCCAAACTAAATTAACCTAGCTCTTTTAGCTGTTCCTCATAAATCCAAGGACTTTGTTTTTGTTGCTCTCTGCTGACTTGTTCCAATCTGTCCACATCTTTCTTGAAGTATGGGGTCCAAAACAAGACAGAGTGTTCCAGATGAGGCCTCACCAGTGCTGAATAAAGGAGAAGAACTATTTCTCTCATTTTTTAAGAGATGCTCCTGTTAATTCAACCCAGTATACTGTTGGCTTTTTTTTAAAAAACAGGAGCACACCGTTGACTCATACTAGGCTTGTGGTCCACTGTAACTCCTAAATCCTACTCTGTAGTACTAGCCAATCATTTTCCTTTCTGTTCATCCATTTATTCTGTCCCCAGTGTAGGACTTTACATGTTCCCTTATTGCATTTCATCTGATTGATTCTGGGCCATTTCTCCAATTTATTTAGGTCATTCTGGATCCTAACAGTAGCACTGTGGGGGAGAAAAACCAGTTAGTAGTAATTTATTTACAGTTTGGCCTTCAACAGAGCAACGTAAATTTGTATTAGGTCCCTGACTCCTGAGCTGAGTCTGGCTTCTCAGCACAAGTGCCTAGAAGGAAAGAGACTAGGTCTGTGCGAAGCTTCGGTAGCCAATTCAATTCAGAGGAGATTCAGCCCAATTCAGCAGCTGAATCTCTGAATCCAAATTGATCAGGAGACCAATTAAAAGGTCTGAATTCAATTGGAAGCCTCTGAGTCAGCTTGGAAAAGATTTGGCGCTACTTCAGAGATTCGGCCATAGACTAAACAGGCACCAGTCCTCACCACACTGGACACAGCTGCTTCCAGCTGGTAAGTCTGTTGTGGTGGGCAGAGGGGGGAGGGAGGGGGCATAGGGGGGCAGATCAATGCCCCCACAGTGAGGGAGGGATTGGGGCTGGGACAAGCTGCCCAGACGGGGTAGCACGGGTGTGGGACTTGGGGAACAGGGCTCCTGCCACTGCTCACCACCATGTGCCACTGGTTTGGAAGGGCATGGGAGCGGGTGTGGGAGCAGATCTGCACAGGGTGGGCTGCCCCAGGCTGCACTCTGGAAGGCTAGCCTGATCCACCCACCATCAGGGTGGGTAGCCCCTCCCCAATCTGGGTGCATGCACCTGCCACCATGCCCTGCCACTGCTCACCCAGCTGGGGTGAAGCCGCAACTTGTCCAGGAGCCGCAGGGAGTCTGGGCAAGTGACAGGAAGGCATAGCCCCCACTCCCAGTGCCTTCCACCACTTGTTCAGAGTGCAGTCTGGCTCAGCCCACCCAGTGCAGATCCGGGGGCACACGCCTACTCCCATGCCCTCTTGGACCAGTGGTGCATGGCAGCAACCAGTGGTGGGAGCCCCCCTCCCCAAAGCCCATATCTCTCTACTCTGGCTGGACAGCTTGTCCCAGCCCCAGCCCCAATCTCTCCCTCACTCTGGAGGCGGTGTCACCCCCCCCATGCCCCTTTCCTCCCCCCTCCACCCACCACAACACTTACCAGCTGGAGGCAGCTGTGTCCAGCATGGTGAGGACTGCTGCCCGTTTAGTCTATGGCCGAATTTCCAATGTGGCACCGAGTCTTTAGATCCAATTCACCCAAATCGAATCAGGACAGTAATGCAAATCACCAGATCGAATCGCTGTCCTCCGAATCAGCTGAATCAGAACCCGAAGCAAATACTTGCCACTTCGCACAGGCCTAAAAGAGACATCTTGGGGAGTGACATTTTTATAGTTTGCAAGGGAACTTGCAGTGAAGCCAGGTTCCAGGTAACCCCCAGAAAAGGTTGACTGTGATTTCAGTGTGTGTTTTTATGAAGGTAGCCAGGAAGTAGAGTTAATAAAAAAAGATGGACTGACTTTACAGTTTATTTTGAACTCACTCTTTGGCTCTGTTTTAAGTCTGTTTATTTGCAAGTAATTCCACAAATGGTGTCCCTCTCAGACCAACTTTTTCTCTCTCTGCCCCCTGGGCATTGTACAGTGACATTCTGCATAATACAGTTGTGTAGTGCAGATATAGTGAGTTGTAGTAATCCATCCTGGAAGTAATAAAAGCATGGATTGCGTGTCTAGATCATTCCAAAGGAAAAGGTATGATTTCCAGTAGCTATTTCCAGTAGCTATCTATACATCGTTCTGGTCATTTTAAAATAGGAGATAATTCTCACTACTGTAGTCATCTGTGCATCAAGGAATAATGAGGAGTACAGTATGGCCTCAAAGTTTTGTCAGTTTAATCTATGATCTGTTATTTTCATCTTCAGCTCATGTTATAGTATTGGCTAGTACTTTAAGGAATTTCCTTCTCACCATTCTTACTTTTATTTCCTATAGAGCGTTTACTCTAAGCTTTACCTCATAGGGCACAGTCAAATGAGTGTGCACATGTACTTTGCAGTGCTGTGCAGACTTTTGGGGCACTGCGAAACACACGTGACACCCATGAAAAGATTCTCTGCACTGCATATCTGCATCAAATTTGCAGTGCCAAGCCAAATTAGATACTGGGAAATCCTGGTATCTTAAAAAAAAAAAAAAGGCCTAAAAAAAAAGGCGGGCAGTGTAGGTGGCTGCAGCATGAACCATGCAAAACTGGAGTCTGGCCAGCCAGAGCCACACTCCAGCTCCTATCCAGGCTCTGCATGCCTGGATTACCTCTGTTACAGCCCTGCGAGGTCCCCAGAACCCCAGTAAGGCTTCTGGGGCCAACCCAGGTGCTAGCCGCAGCCTCTGCTACTCCACCCAGGGCAATTTGTCATGTACTAGACAACTATGTGCCACTGCTATTTATCCCCAGGGAAATGCACATGTGTGCTCATCTGAATGTGCCCATGGGGTCTGAGGTTACCTCAGGAGTCATCTAGTTCAACCTCCTGAACCAATGCAGGTTGTGATTTTCCAGTATTATCCCAGGCAAAATCTCTTCAGCATCTTTTTGCAAATCTCCAGGGAAGGAGATGCCATAACTTCTCTAGGCAGCTTGTTCCACTTTCGTACTATTTGGACAATTGGAAGTTTTTGTTTTAGTTTGGTTTATTTTCTGATCTTTAATTTATATCTGTTTTCCTACAGTTTAAAACCTATTGTTTTGTGTCCTGCCCTTTATGGCAACAGAAAACAGTTGTGTTTTCCCTTGTTATTAAACAAAGCCTAGTTCTGTCAATGTTTACTCATATAGCTTACGATCCAACCCCTTTTCTGCTTTGTTGCATGCTTATGGATCCTTTCCATTTTCTCCACATTCTCTTTAAATTGTAGAGTCAGTAGATGCATACAGTGATCCAGATAAAGCCTAGCCAGTGCTGAGTAGAATTTTACTATTATTGCCTATGTCTTATGCACTTTACTCCTATTTCTGCGGCCCCAAATTGGTTTTGCTCTGCCTTCTTTGAGTCTTCTGTGAATAGATCACATTAATTCTTGAGCAGTGGACCTATAGATTCATTGGTCTTCCTGTTTGGTATC